TTTTTTTTTTTTTTCTTATATGTGTCACTGAAAAATATTCTTGCATAACAGGTTTCTCAATAACATGGATAGGAGCATTTTTCTGCAGAAAACATTTTCACCTGACCCTAGGTTTCTTTTTCAGTTCAGCTCAGATATTTAACTCCAGTTTTTTGCACAGTTTTTAAAGTCCTATCCTCAAAGACATGGTAATAGAGATCTCTGCCATTGTCTGAGAAGAGATGCAGTGTAACGGCTAAGAAAGCAGATTCTGGGGCTATGTCTGAGCTCGGCTCTGTGACCACTTGCAACCACTTTACCTCTTCATGCCTCAGTTTCTTCATATGTAAAATGGACATCATAATGACTACCAACTTCACTGAGGTTTTGTGAGAGTTAATGTAAGTAATATAGGCAAGCACTCAGAAGTGTAACTGTCCTATATTCAAGTATATTTGAGCAATTACTCTGCAGACCCCTCACTGTGCTGAACATTTCTTATTCCTTTAATCCTCACAGTGCTATTACATAGGTTAGGAAATTAAGGATCCGAGAATGAATAAATTGGTGTAAATTTACATTGTTTGTAAGTGGTAAGATCTTGAACAAGATAGGATCTGACCCTCAAAATGCTTAACTCCAAAACCAGACATTGGTCCATTTTTCAAACAAATTCTGATACGGTTCCAAATCTACCATACTATTAAAGATCACCCATGGGCTAGATCCTGAGGCTTAATCCTGAATCTCTTTAAGTGGGTTCAGACTGAATGTCTTTAATGGTGTGCTTAAGACCAGAGAAACAGAAGCATGTCTTAAAGCGTATTTTCTTCAAACAGGAAGAAATGGGGACATTCAGGATGCTCTTGAATAGTTCAAAACTTTACATTTAATTGATATTTCACTGGACTAGGAAGACCAAAGAGCATTTACACTCCACAGAGCTTCAGGAGACCAGAGCAGAGTCTCCCTAGACTGGACCAAGACTGAATTGGATGAATGCATTTTTCTCCTTGTTTGAGTTCTTTGTTTATCAACATGCATTGTCAAAATAGAATGCTGCAGGGCCGGCCCGGTGGCGCACTGGATAGTGCGCCGCTTGGGAAGCGCGGCGGCGCT